GGTGTGGATGTTGGCGTAGTCGGTGTGACGGGAACAGGAGTAGAGGGAGAAGTGGTGGCTGTTGGCCTTTGAGTGGGTGGGGAAGACCGGGTTTCACGTTGGGTTGGGGTTATGACTCGGTGGGAAGTCGTTGTGACAGAGGAGGTGGCTGAGGTTGGAACCTGAGTGGAGAAAGTGGACTCGGGGCGTGGCGGGGTGGGGAAGGTGTTGATGGTCCGGAAAGATGTTCCCGTGGGCGGACCTGTTGTTCGGGTGCTGGTGGCGACAGAAGAGGTGGGCGTGAAGTAGCGAGTGGTGGAGGGTATGTGGGGCCTGGTGACGGTGGCCACCGTGTGTGTCGTTTCGGGATTGGTTAGTTGGGTTGGGGACGTTGTGGGTATGGTCAGTGGGCTGGTATGGTCGCTTGTGGGCTCGTTACTGGGACTTGCGGTGCTCTCCGGATATGGTGTAGGCTCCGTCTGCTCTGTTTGTTCAGAGACGGAAGTTCCCCATGTCCATTCTTGGGTGGACGGTGCTGTGGGAGACAGTCTCTGTCAGGTCATTTCCCTTCCTCCTTCACCTCGCCCCCTGAGCCTCAGTTGTCGTCTTCCCTGCCTGTGGTTTGTGTGACCCTGATGGGGTCTTCCACTCCCTGCCCGTGTCTCCCCACTTTCTCTCATGGACTCCTCTCGTCTTTGTAGGCGCTCCTTGCAGCTCAGCTGCTCCCAGTCATACTTGGGAGCCCCTTCTCTACAGCCCTGTGGTTGCTGGCCCCTTCCACCCACTCTCATGGTGGCTCTTCTTGGGGTGGGCTGCACCATCCCTCCAAGGCCATCCCTGGTTCTGGCCTTTGGAACCGGCTTCTCTTCTGCATGCCTTGAGGGGAATTCAGATGTCTGTTGCCATCATGCAGAGCATGGACTGCACTTTGCATCAAGTGTCTTTGGTAGCTCCGGCGACCCCTGGGTCTGTGACTCACCTGGGGAAGGTGCAGCCGTGGTGGATTCGAGCTCCGATGCTGTGGCCGCGGAGAAGTGCAGAGAGGAGCATGGTTAGGGAGGATGGTTAGGGAGCATGGTTAGGCTCAGGTCTGGGGGCCCGGCAGGCTGCCCCTACCATCGGACCCGCCTGTTCATGGGGGTGGTCTTAGGCTGCTCTCCTCCACGCAGCCCCGATAGCTTAGGCTGGGCGTTGGGGCGTCTGTGCTGTAGCCCTCTACAGGGACACATGGGTGAGGGCTTGCTTACTTGTTAGGGACCCCGTGGAGGCCCCTGACGATGTCAGGGTTGGCAGTGCTGCTGTGGTGTGCGCTGTGTACTGAGCTGTGGATTGAGTGGCTTTGCTGAGGGGAGATGCTGTGGGCTGCGTTGTGGCATGGGTCACGGTGGGTCCCATGGCCGCTGACCTGGGAGTGGCTGTGGGTGCTGTCGCTGATGTGGCCCGCATGGTGACAGCGGAGGTGTTTCGAGTTGACTCTGCAGGGAACAGTGCCCAGAATTCTCTCTGTCCCTGTCTACACTTTCCCCTCTGGGACCCCGCCCTCCTCCTTGCCCTGTGAGTCACACCAGCAGGGCACACTTAGTCCCCTCATGAGAAGTGCTTGTCTTCCCCTGGCTGACACTGATGTCTTCCTCTGGCCTTGGGGTACTCGGTGACATTTCATTGACCATGTGTTCATGTGGGCCACTGGCTGCCCCTCCACCTGCCTTTGCTAGGAGCACCCATGTCCTGTCCCCTCGTGGTCCCAGGGCAGCCGGAAGGGGATGCTGCTGTGTGGGGTGGGGTGGGAGTGGTGGTGGTGGGCTAGGGGACAGGCTGCACAGAGGGCTGGCATGCACTTCTGGTGGCCTTCTGCCCAGCAGGTCCTACATGCTTCCTAGCAACAGTATCAGCAGGGAATGGCCTCATCCTGTGGCCAGCTTGCCGTTGAATAAAACCGTTCAGAGAAACCCAGCTCCACTCCACGTGCGGGGAGTTCTGTGCCTGAGAATCTGCTCATTGGAAAGATTTCTGCAAAGTGTGGGGCTGGCCCTGCCCTCCGTCCCCACCGGAGCCCATGTGTGATCCTGCACATGTCTTTGTCACCCGCAGTGGGGCCCTCGGGGGCCTTACCTCCCGAGGAGACTGTCGGTTCTGTTTGGGTTGTCGGGGCTGTCGCCGTGGCTGTGGGCATGGCCGGAAGGCCAGATGTCTGGGTGGTGGCCTCAGGTGTGGGTGGAGAGCTTGGTGAGGGTCTGGTGGAGTTGAAGAGCCCAGTGGTCCTGGGGGTCTCAGTGGTGCTGGGCATGGTCGTGGTGGGCCTGGTTGCCGTGGAGGGTGAGCCTGAGGGGCAGATGTGCTGTTATTGTGGGGGTACACCCTGTGGGAGGAGCCCCCCTCTCTCGCTTGCTAGGCTTCTAAGCCGTGTAGCTCCAGGAGGGCTGGGCGGGAGGTGCAGGGGCCGGCCTGTGGCCTGCTGAGGGCAGCATGGACTCCCAGTGGGGAACTCGCTTGTCGGCCCTGCTGTGCTCAGTGGCCGTCCACTGGAGGCTGCGGAGGGGCTGGCCGGGAGCTGAGCTTTTCCCTCCCCTGCCCTCTGACTTCCTGGTGAGCACCTGCTGCTCCCACAGCACAGCAGCCCAGGGACGGCCCAGGGTCACTCCCCGCCGCAACCCACGCCCACTGGCTGGGGCTTCAGGGACAGCAGCAGCTGCCGCCGCCAGGCTCCGGACACAGCCCGCACAGCAGAGCCAAGGCAGCACCCTGGGGAGAGCCTGCCTCACCTTGGCACTAGTGTGGGCACTCACCTGTGGTGGGCGCCGGAGTTGTGGTGGATGGTGTCACTGCAAGAGGAGGGGTGGTCAGGGGCGCTGCCCCCTGCGGCCCTCAGAAGCCTTGGGGTGTGTCCCCAGGGTCTGAGTCAGAGATGATCCAGAGGCAGAGGACCAAGGGGGAGGGAGCCACCACAGAGGCGCCTAGGCCCTTGCCCTCCGTTCTCCTCCCCTCCCAGCACCATCCCCGTGCCCTGGTGTCCCCTGGTCAGTGGGCCTGGCAGGGAGTGGAGGGGCCAGCCAGGGTGCTGCACCCCCAGGGTAGCTGCAGGCATGCCCAGTGCCCACTCACGGCAGCTCTCCAGGCCACCTGTGCTGAATTCCCAGGAGATTCCTGCTCTGCACCCACACAAGTGGCAGGCTGGCGGGGCTGGGTCTGCCCTGGGACTGGGGGCCGGGGAGTTGCTGTTTGGGGAGGGAAGGCGAGGCGCGGAGAGGCCTGCCCTGGGGTTTCCCTGGGCCTGTGCTGTCTGTGGCCTTGGGCTGCCCGGGTCTCTGGGAGTCTCAGCACCCTAGGGGCACAGCTCTGGGGATGGGGGTGCTTGGGGCCTGGCCAGAGGTGGTGCAGGGGCTGGGAGCTCCTGCGCCGGGGCTGCGTGGGCTTGGGGGGCCCTCAGGCAGCGGCTGAGCTTACGGCACGGCAGGCACGTCCCTTCGTTGTGATCAAAGTACTCGTCCTGGGAGCAGTTGTAGCAGCCTGGGGGGTGTGGAGATGGGCCAGGCCTCAGTGCCCAGATCTGGAGACCCCTCTTCCCCTGGCCTTCGTCCCTCCCTCTTGTCCACATGCAGTCTCGGCCTCTCTCCTTAACCCCAGACGCAGGTGCCCTGTCTCAGTCCCCACCCCAATGCCCTGCGCTGTGCGCCTAGCACCTCCCCCACATCCTTCAGGCCCAGCCCTCCCCTTCCTCCCTGTCCTTGCCCCCTAGGCTCCTGTCCCCCTGGCCTGGGGAGCCCTGTCAGTCTTCTGCTCAGACCTCTCCCGCTCCAAGCCTGGTACCTTCAATGTTGTCTGAGACACTCTGCGGCCACCCTGGGCAAAGGCACGGCTGGTAGTGCCATGTGCAGTTGGCCTCCTGGGTATACTGGTACTGGCCGCTGCCCACCCACGTGTGAGTGTTGTAGAAGTCGCAGTAGACGGCTGGGAGGAAGAGCGCCCGTCAGGCAGCAGCAGTGCCAGCCCCGGCCCTGAGCTAGGCCCCAGCAAGGCCCTGGTGCGTGCCAGCCTGGGAGCCCGGACGCGGGCCTGGAGGCTCAGGGTCCCTCTGTGGTGTCTCCTGTGGGGGCACAGCCCGCAGCCCGCCGGGGAGAAGCACTGTGGCCTGTGGGAGCAGGACACTCACGGCAGAAGTCAGGGGTTCTCCAGTCCACGCACACGCCCTTGTCCAGGCAGGCCTTGGCATAGGCGGCCACGGCGTCGCACAGGCACTCGCAGTCCCCTCCGGTATCACACCCGCACGTGTCACTTACGCAGGCCTCATAATAGGGCAGGCGGTACACCTGTGGGACCCAGCCCTCAGTGTCAGCTGCCCGGTCAGTCCCACGGGCAGGGGCTGCTCTAGGAGCTGGAGGCCAGGACCCCACCTGTGTCCAGGGAGCTCACCCCCAGGGCAGCCTCTGGGTCTTGGTCCTTGAGTGCCCCTCTCCTGACTGCTCGGTGGAGAGCAGGAGTTCCACGTGGGCCCCCAGCATGGGTTGTGGCCTTCCCCCAACACCATCCCTCTTTGTCATCCCCGCTGGACATTCTGGAGGGCATGTGCGGTGGGGCCAGCCCACCTGGCTGTGGCAGGCGGCGAAAGTCTGGCTGTTGATGATGCTGCACTTGCGCTCGGCCCAGGAGCGGCGGAAGGCATTGAGGGTGCAAGGGTCCACCACGAAGGTGGCGTCTCCGCACAGCGGGCTCTCCTTCCACGAGTTCACAAACTCCAGCTCACTGGACGCCACATACTTGCTGCGCGTTTCAAAGTCGTCCTTCATGTTCCCGTTGTAGTTGCCACACAAGCCGCAGAGGGCGTCCTGCAGGGGCTGGCGTCAGTGAGGTGCACGGGCGCTGCCCCTACTCCCTCGACTCCGTGGGGCAGGGGTGGCACAGGTACCTGGGAGGCACGCGCGATCTTGATGAAGACGGTCATGTGCTTGTTCCAGGTGACGGTCAGGTTGTACCTGCTGCTGATGGTGATGTCCAGCACCAGGTGCAGGGAGCTGGCCTTCACCTTGAAGTGCACGTCGGGGTCCTCCTCCCCGCTGACCGTGTAGTTCCTGTCCTCCAGCACGATGGACAGGTCCTGTGGGGCGGGGCCGTCATGGGGCTGCCTGCTGCCGCACTCTGCCTCCCCTGCCAGAACTCTCTGAGGCGGGGTGGAGCGCATCCGTTAAGGACACGTGTGGGCCAACGCCTGCTGAGGGCCAGCTCTGCGTTGGGGGCCTGCCTTCTAGAGCCTGCCACTGGGGGAAGGTTCCAGAACATCATGGAAACTGTGCTGAGGGCCGATGGTCAGGCTTTCTGGAGAACCCCTCCCCTCTGCATGACTGTCCAGCTCTGGGAGACACTGCGAGCCCATCATGCAGATGGGGAGGCCAGGGGCAGAGGGGCTCCAGTGGCTGAGGTGTGGGGAGGCCCCGCCCAGCCCGCTCACCCCCAGGAAGATCTTGATGGCCCGGGAGCAGGTGACACCCAACTTCCCGCACACAACGTTCTCTGTCAGGATCTTGAAGGTGGGCTGCGAGTCGTTGGCGCTGCAGCCATCCTGTGGGGAGGGGTGTTAAGGAGGAGCCCGCCCGGTGGCCCCCTGCAGCCCCGCTCCCTGTGGCCCCAGGCCCGGCCTTACCGTGGCCAGGATGTACTCGCAGTTGCCGTTGAACACAAAGCGCTGCCCGTCGAAGGTGACCACGTGGCCCTCCCCGTAGAGAGTGCAGGTGGATGAGCAGTGGGCGCTCTGCTGGCACGTCCACTTCCCCTTCGAGCAGGTGCTGGGAGAGGAGCAGGGGTGTCTGAGGGTTTCGGGGAGACCCAGGCCACACACGCACCCTGCAGGACCCTGACCTTGGTGGGGTTGGTGGGGGACCCCCCTTCCCGCCCCAAACAACCCTGAGGACAGCCAGGCCCCCAGGGTGTCCAGGGTGAGGCCGCGGCTTACCAAGTCTGACAGTCCGTTTGGAGCTCGGCGCCCTCGGCGTAGGAGATGCCTGCAAACTCGCACGGGCACTCCTCAGCGGGCACGCACTCCCCATCGGCGTTCTCGTAGAGGCCCTCGGCACAGACACAGCCGGGCTCGCACTTGGTGGGCACCTGTGGGGGGAGGGTCAGCGGCCCCTAGGAGGGTGGCCTCGCCTGCTGCTGCCCCGACCCTGGGCCCTCCTGACACCCCCAGCTTTCCTCCCAGACCTGCCCCTTGCGTCCACCCCTGCTCTGGGCCTTTCTCTTAGCGAGGCCGCCCCTCCCTCAAGGAAGGTTCCGGTGCCTCTGTGCATCATGGCTGGACTGCTGTTCCCCCCACACAAGCTGACGAGCCTCTGGCCACAGTCTTCAGGGAACCCCACAGACGAGCACACCCGGCCTCCCGTTGCACGCATCGCGCGACGATGGGCACAGCACAGAGCATGGCCCCGTCTTCCCTGGGGATTTGTGGACATCCTCTCATGGCCCCGCAAGAGGCTCTGGGGGCCATCCACCCTGGCCCCTCGCTCCTCCCCAGCCTTACGCAAGGGATGCCAGTGGCCAGCATCTGACACGTGGGGGCGCAGGCCGCCCCAAACTTGTTTTCCGAGGACTGGCTGCAGGCCTGGAATGTCTTGTTGGCCGAGCAGGATTCTGTGGGGAAAGAGGGGCCTGGGGTGAGGTTGGCTCAAAGGAGGCCATGGCACCTCGCAGTCCAGGTCCCCGAGCTGCAGCTACGTACCCACGAGTGTCAGCGGCTGCCCCGGGCAGCTCAGCCGTCCGTTGATGCAGTAGCTGCAAGAGGGAGGCCGTGTGAGTGGACCGGCCCCGGGCCAGGGGCTGCAGGCCGGGGTGGGGCCGGCCCACCTGGAACCCCCTCACTCACCAGATGACGCCATTGACCAAGGTGGACTGGTCGGCCAAGATGACCTTGTTGTCCAGGAGGCAGGGGCACTGGGCCTTGCGCACACACTCGGCCTTGTGGTTCAGGTAGGTGCCCTCGGGGCAGTTGCAGCCGTCCACGGGCACGGCGCTGGGGTGGCACTCGGCCATGCCATCAGATAGTGACAGGCACGTGCGGTTGCAGGCTGAGCTGTTGTAGCTGAACGTCTGGTTGCCCGTGCAGGGGATGGCTGCGGGGGACCCCAGAGTCAGGCCCTTGGGGGATGGCCGGGCAGAGCGTGGGGCCCTGGACCCCCATCGTGACCCCTGCCCCCCCTCCTGCCCGTGCCCACTGCACGTACTGCAGTTGTCCACGCTGCTTCTCCAGCCCCACAGCAGGATGCCCTGCGAGGCGCATGCTTGGGCGTAGTCGCCCAGGGCGGCACAGATGTGGGGGAAGGTCTCCTCGTAGTTGCAGGCCTGGTACACGCACCTCTGCGGGCAGACAGCGGCCATGGGCGCCTGTCCTCCTGCCACCCTCCTGGCTCCCCCACCCGCAGCCCTCCCTACACACCCGAGGCCTCGCCCACCTTGTAGAAGGGCTTGGGGTTCACCGTGCCATGACACTTCTCAAACACTGTGCCCGTCTGCACCAGCACCGAGCAGTGGGTCTCCGCACACACCTCTGGGGGGACAGCCCAGGCGTGGGTCTCCCACTCCCTGGCATGGGTCTCCTGCCCACCCCGCAGTCCCCTGGGCGGGCACTCACTGTTGAGCTGGCTCATGGAGCAGGGGTCAGTCTCACGCTCGAGCGCGGCCGGGCAGTTTCCAGCCCGCCAGGAGTCCACAAAGACCGAGGCGGTGCCCTCGGCGATGCCCATGCTGGTTGTGAAGTCGTCCGTCGTGTCCCCATTAAAGTTACCGCAGAGCCCTGGGCCGGCCAGGCCGTGAGTGTGGGCGGCCCGCGTTGGTTCTACCCCGCGCTCCCCAAAGCTCCTCCCCTCCCCTGCGCATGCCGTGGGCAAGAGGCCATTACTGGCCGCACCCTGGGGAGGGCTGGGCTGGGGCAGGGAGCACTGGATGTGCTGGGTCAGTGCCAAGCTCTCTTGGGCTCCTTCTCCTCTGGTGCGCCCCTTCTCCTCTGGTGCGGCCAAGCTGGGTGGGGGCCGGCAGCCAGGCCGACCCCAGGCAGGCGGGAGAGGGGCTTACCTCGGGTCTGGCCTCTGAATTGGGGCCCAACGGTGATGTACACCTCGAACACGGGCTGTAGCTGGATCAGGAGCTCCAGCCCAAAGGTGGTGGCCATCTGGAGGTGGGTGGATGTCTGCCTGAAGACCGTGATGTTTCCTGGGGGGACAGGGGGCTCAGTGTGGCCTGCCTTGGGACCTCAGCCCCGTGAGGCCCCGGGTGCTGGGCAGGGGCTGAGGACGTACGAGTCTGGTATGGCAGCCACTTTGTGTCTCCGTTGTTGGTGATCACCTCGTCTTGAGAAATCACGATTTTGTCCTGGAGAGAGGGTGGCCTGAGTCACGGGGGGCTGGACAGCGGGAGGCTCCCCTCCTGCGGGCCAGGTGGGGGGAAGCAGGAGCGGGGACCTGGGGTGGGCGCAGCAGCCGAGGGCGGGCGGCCTTACCTGGCTGGACATGTAGATGACAGCGGCCAGGGAGGTCTCGGAGTGCGAGTACCCAGACTTGTCATACACAGCCACGAGGGAGCCCCCATCTGGGAGCTGGGGGCTCTGAGAAGAGGGATGGCTCAGCACAGGGGCCCCGGGGATGCTCATGGTGACCCCTCGTGATGGCCCCCATGGCGGCCCCCCGTGGCGGGTGTGTCCTACCTGGATGAGGATGTAGGTGCAGGTGCCGTGGAAGCGGTAGGGCCTGGCATCGAATGTGGTGACGAAGGAGCCACCTTCCAGGGAGCAGCTTCGCGGGCAGGACCGCTCTGTGCACTCCCAGTGGCCCATGGTGCACTGGCTGCGGGTGGGGAGGGGGTGACCCAGAGTGGCGGGCGGGGCTGCTGGAGCCCGATGCCACCCCCGGGTGCTCCAGGCCAGCAGAGCTGGCTGCCTCCAGGGCTGAGGCCGCCCCGTAACCCCCGTATCGCCTCACGTCCCCATCCTGCCCACATATCCTCCAAAGCTGCCCGACACTCACCAGGTCTGGCAGGCGGCTGTCGTGACCTCTCCAGGGGCGTAGGCCACCCCGCTGAGTGTGCAGGGGCACTGGGTGACCGGCACGCAGGTGTGGTTGGTCTGGTTTTTGGAGACGTCGTCAAGAACCATACCTGCAGGAGAGAGGCTTTCTGGGGCTGCGACAAGACACCTTCTTCCCTCCTGCTGGTGAGCCGCTCCAGCTGGCCTGCGAGGGCCCCTGGGGCAGGCCCCGGCCCTGTCCTCCAGCCCCGCCTGCCCCCTGCCCCCTCTTGCCAACATGCAGACCAGGAGCTGCTCCTGGTGAGCGGAATGCCCTGTCCCTGGTCCAGCTCAAATCTCACCTCTTCCTAGCAGCCTCTCGGACCCCCCAGCGGACGCCCCCTCACTCCCTCGTGGATTTGCACACACAGCCGTGGGGCCAGGGGCCAATTTGAGGCCATGAGCATTTGTGAGTGCCTTGGGGGCAGAGTTCCTCCCGGGGCAAGTCCCCAGCAGGGTGTCCTGGGCGAGCCGGTCCAGGCCCCAGTGTGTCGGGGTGGGGTGGGGGCTGACACCCTGTCTCTGGGCTCCTCTCCAGGGGGCCAGGGAGAGTGGGTGGCCTCACCTTCCGGGCAGAAGCAGCCGAAGGTGCAGAAGCTGGAGCAGCTGTGCTGCGGGTTGGAGCAGGTCTTGAGGCAGGCCTCGCCGCACTCCTGGTACACCTGGTTGGCCGGGCACTGGCCCACGGCTGCAGGCCACAGTGGCCCCAGTGAGAGGGGCAGGGGTGCCCCAGGGGCCCCACCACCCTCCCCTCCCCGGCCGAGGACTTAGCCCAGCCCCTCCTCCACCCAGGTCTCCTTCCGTCTCGTGGACGAGGTGGGGGGATTTGGGGCATTGGTGTCTGGGGCCCTGTCCCTCCCTGCCGCCCTCCCCGGGACTCACAGCAGAGACCGGGGCCCCGCCAGTTGCTGACGGGCTGGCCGGCCATGCTGCACTGGCGCGAGTACTCGGACAGTGTGGCGCAGCTGCAGTTCTCCTGGCCTGGCCAGTCGCACGTGGCCATGTCCGCCTGGCAGCTCAGCACGAAGGGCTCCTTGGTCACATTGCACTCGGGGGACACCAGGGTCAGCAGCTGGGTGCAAGTCTGGGCCTGGGCAGAGGGCCACTTAGGGTCACGGGGGTCAAGGCCACATCCCACACCACGCATGTGTCTTAGAAGGCTGGGAGGGGATGTTGATGGCCTTGGATACCCTGTCAGACCCCGTCGGCCAGCCCCACCGTGGCTGAAGGGCTCCCACTGTCCCTGGGTGGCCTGACCACCTCACGTACATGCTCTGCCTCTAGGACCTGGGGGCTGGGAATGGCCTCGTAGGAGCAGATCTCGTTGGGGTCATCCAGCTTCTGGAGGGCAGTGTACTCATGGGGTTCCAAGAGTTTGCCTGGGGGGTGTGGGATGGAACGGGATCAGCACCAGGGGCCTGGGCCACAGAGGGTCTGGGCCTTGCCCCCCACCTACCATCCTCGCTCAGAAACTCGTTGGTCTTCTCGCCGTCGAAGTTCCCACACAGCCCGCACATCTTGCCCATGTACTTCTTCTCCACCAGGACCTGCGGGCGGTCGGGCACTGTGGTCAGGTGGGCGGGGAGGGGTGCAGGGCTCCCAAGACCCCTCGCCCAGCTGTGGCGGCCACACGCGCCTGCTCCGGGGGCCCAGAGCGCCCTTCATGGTGCCGGCCACGAGGCCACACCCCTCTAGCGACCGTCCACCCTGTTCCTCCTGAGGGACCTCCTTTTCTTGCTGGATCGTCCTCATCTTCAAGCGCGGAAGCTGAGCCGCCGCCACATCGCAGGCCTGCCCAGCCTCTGGCTGAGGGTCAGCGCTGCGTTGCCAGAGCTTGAGCTCTGCTCGGGACCCCTGCCCCAAAGAGGGCGGCCCCCAGCCCTGCCCCCTGCCCCTTGCATGTCTCCAGGCTCAGCCCCGGCGTCCTCACCATGAGGTGGGCGTCCGGGCCCCACATGACCACCAGCTCCAGCTCCAGCTGCTTGGCCACCAGCCGCACGCTCTGGCCGAAAGGTGTGATCTGGAGCCCGTTGCTGGTGTAGGGCAGGCTGACAACCCTGTGGGGTGAGAGCGGTCAGTGGCCACCCCCTGAACCCCCGCAGCCACCCAGCCCAGTCACAGAGCCTACCCCACGTCCTTGATGGAGATGACTGCCTTCTGCACAGTAACCACAGAGGCCCCCAGCTCCACGATGATCCGGGAAATGTTCCCACTGGGCCCTCGCCGTAGCTGGACGCTGAAGGTGGACGAGGCGTCCTTGCAGATGGCCGCGAAGATGTAGTTGCAGGTCCCCGTGAAGTCATACACAAGGCCGTCGAAGGTGGAGAAATGGCCGGCCCCCCATGTGGAGCACCAGCCCCTGTCCAGAGCTGTGGAGAGAGCGGGCGGGGTCTCGGAGCCCTGTGTCCCCCCAGCTGGCGGGGCAGGTCTGGGGTGGCCTGGCCCCATGAGCTGGGCCCCTGGGGAGTCCACGCTGGGAGACAAGTGGCCTCCCAGGTTCCAGGCCCTCCTGGGATGGGTGAGAAAGAGCCCCCCACCACGCCCACCCGGCTCTGGGCTGGGGTCTGCCTCCCACCCCAAGACTTACAGGAATGCAGGTCGCTGTCGGGGTTGGGATCTGTGGCGTTATCAGCCCCGGCGTCTGTAGGACATGAAGCCACAGCTCAGCCCCCACCCAGCTGGGGCCCCACCCCTCTTGGCAGCACTGACTTGTCTCCCCCAGGTGAGGGCCTAGCTGAGAGTCTTCTGTAGCTGGATCCTCCTCTTGGAAACTCCAGACTACAGCCACCCCATGGCAGGGCTGTGGCCTGGGTGCTCTGGACAGCTCCACAGGACGGGAGGCTGCCATGGCCCTGACATTAGCTCTTTCTGGCGTCCTCTGGCCCTGCAGCACCTGCTGGTCTGTCCACCAGGCTCCTGTCACTCACTCACTCGCTCACTCCCCAGACGCGCCAGGCCCCCTGGGGCTCACAAAGAGAGCCAAGTGCAGGACAGACGGGCAGCTGTGAGATAAACCGGGTGCAGGCTCTGGGCGGACTCATGTGGGCCTGGGGTGCCCTGGTGGCCAGGCTCCTGTGTGGGGTGGTTGTTGCGGGTGGGAGGGGGGATCTTGAGTCCACCAGCGGGGCTCGGTGGTCTGTGAGCAGGCGGGAAGTGGGGGGAGAGCTGGGGAGGGGTGCATGGCACAGTTGACAGACAGTGCGGGGCCAGAGCCGGGGGCATCTGTGGGTGGGATGGCTCAGGGGTGTGCAGCCGTCCCAGCTGTCCCCTCTGTTCTGGATCTGTTCCCTCTGTTTGGCTGTGACCCCCATGTTCCCAGCTCGGCCGGCCCTCCGGGGTTCGCTCCCTCTGGGGTTCACTCCCTCTGGGGTCCATGCCCAGCTCTGCAAATGGCTCAGGGAGGCTGAGGCCCCACAGAGGGCTCCTCGCTCTACTGGGGGCCCTAAAAGGGGCCCGCTCCCTGCGTCCTTCCCCCGTCAGCCTCACAGACATTCCCGGGGCTGTGGTGACATTGGTCATGGTGACTGCAGGGGCGGGCCTCAGCTGTGGGCCTGCCTCCTTCTTACCCCCACCCTCCCGGATCCCTGTGGCCCTCCTCTGCCCCCAACCCCCGTCCCTGCTCCAGCCCGTCCTGAGGCTCCTGTGGGATGAGGTCCCACTGTGGGCAGACAGGTGACGGGGGCCACAGCCTCTCCATCCCCCAGGGTCCCATTCTCCAGACCCTCCAGTGGCCTCGATTCTGCCTTGGCTCCCACCCAGTTCATCGGCTGAATGCAGCTCAAGGTCCTGTTCCTGCACCCGCCCCCGCCCTCTGCCTCAGGCTCTGCATTGTTCCTGGGGCATGATGCTGGTCTCCCCATCACGGTGCTGGTTGCCGTCAGCGTTGTGTCTCTGGGCGACACCAGGGAGCAGGGACACCAGCCCGATGGCCGCGGGGTCCCCAGGCGGGGCGGGCCTCACAAGAGGCCGTGTGGCTCCACCTTTCTGATGGAGTAGTGACACTTGACTGTGGCGCTCCTCCCTCCGCAGTGACGATACCCTCTGTAGGTCCACACCTCGGCCCCCTCTTGGTTCATGACCACCCCCCAGCATGCCTTGAGTCCCGTCCACTGTGCCCTCTGCAGGTGACGCCCCAGTCCCCATTCGCAGTGCCCCCTCCACCAGCTCCTCCTCGTCACCCGGCACCAACCTCACTGAGCCCTGTCATGTCTCCTGTCCTCTGCTCTGCTTGGTCCCCACCCCAGTCCCTGGCCTCCATCTCTGTCTGTACAATGACCCTCCCAGCAGCAGGGGCTCCTTTAAAGATGCTCAGGCCAGCCGGCCGTGTCACTGCCACCTCCCTAGGGCCGTCTGTGCTTCCCACCACTCTCAGAACAGGCACTGAGCCTGGGCTGGGACCTACGGGGCCTGCAGGGTGGGCTGGTCCGCCACCCCAGCCTTTCTTAGCCCCCAGACGGGCCACACACATGGGGCCGGAGCACATGCTGTTCCTTCTGCACACTTGGTGGCCTCGCCTGCCCCTGGCCGTTCTGGCTCAACGCCAGCCAGCTCAGGGGCCTCTTTCCTGGGCCCCCACAGCACCAGGCCCTCAAGACCCCAGCATCTGACCTCATGCTTTGCTGGCCTCTGGTCTAGGAGGGCAGGGCTGCCATCCCTTCCTCCCACGCCAGTAGATTTGGTGCTCAAAGAGCAGTTGCAGAAATGTGGACAGACCCGGTCCCTCTACCCCCTGCAGCACTCACAGCCTGGACCCCCACGGCTCCTCAAAGCCGCAGCCCCTCGCCACCCCTGCAGGTCCCAACCCACCCCTGCCGGCTCCCGGGCGCCTCCCTCTTCGCCCTGGTTCTGGGTCCAGGTCTGGGAGTCTCCAGGGCCAGGGACCCACCCAGGAAGGTGACCTTGGCTAGGCAGGGGTCCTGAGAGCTCAGAGCTGCCCCTGGGGGGAAAGGTGGTGCTTGGCGAGTGGGGGAGGGGCTCCGCGGGAGGGAATAGGCGGGGCGGGTTCAGGGGAAACCCACCGGGCTCAGAGTCTGCAGCCCACCCCCAGCATCGGGGGCCACAGCAGGGCTCCCCAGCTGAGGCTGGTGGGGCTCACGGGCTGCCAAGGAGGGGGCAGCGAGCCAAGGACTAAGGAAGGCAGACCAGTGAGTCCTGCTGACTCAGATACCTGAGCTCTCGGGCAGGCAGAGAAGACGCAGAAGGCTGGGGCCTGTGGTCAGCAGGAAGGGCTTCCCCTGGCCGTCTCGGGACCCTGGGGGCTGGCCCCTTCTGGGCGAGTGGGGACTGGGGAAGGGAGCGAAATCTGCCCTCAGCCTGCATGAGGCAGTGCCCTAGGTTGTTAGCAGGAGGGGTCTGGGCGGTTTGGGGGGAGGAAGGGGAGCCCTGCCCTGTGCGCCTGATGGCCTAGACTGGGGAGGCTCCAGGGTGGGGCGGCCCCTTCAGGCCTCCCACTTCTTTAATCCTCACGGCACACACACGAGGGGGGGATATCATACCCAACTTTTACAGGCGGGGAAACTGAGGCCCAGAGCCCACATTGTCGCTTGTCTGTTCATAGTCAGGACCCAGTGGAGCGTGGGTCTCCACCCGAGGCTTTTAGCTTCAATGCCCCCAAGGCCCGCTACACACCCTCTGACTCCCCGTGAGGATCCCTGGAGACCTCTCAGGACCCAGGGCCCAGTGGGCGGGTGAAAGCCCCCAGCGCCGTCCTGCCCAGCATGCTCACGTTCCACCATACCCGCTGCTGTTGAAGAGACTGCATGTCCCCAGGGACCCCCGCCCCTGCAGCTAGCATCCTTCCTCCCTGGCCACTGCCCAGCACAGGGTGAGGGGCAGCCTGTACTTGGCCCCTGCACCCTCTGACCCCCACTGGCTGGGCCAGGCTCTGAGGCCACCGACAGATACCCGGGCCTTGGCAGGTGTGGGACGGCCATGGAGTGAGGAGGGGCTTCCCCGGCCTGGCCCCTGCCTCCTGCCTCCCATCCATCAATGTCCATGTGGCCAGCCCGCCTCCTGCTGAGTCAGCGAGGCGAGGAGGCCTGGCAGAGTTTCCCACGCGCAGGGGCCCTCTGAGGGCATCTGGCCGCCCCTTTGGCATGGCCCGCAGGCCCCCACTCACCAGCGCTGAGCAGGGGCCCCCCAAAGAACAGGAGCAGCAGCAGCCGAGGCCCGAGCATGGTGCGTGGAGAAGGGTGGTCGCCGCTGGACCCGGCCTCTCCCGCCGCCGGACACTGGGCAGGCTTGGTGCACCTGTGCAACCCGAGTGGCCAGCCCTGGACGCCTTATATAGGGGCTATGGGCCCTGCCCCTGCCGCGCCTGTCTGCGCCCCACGCTTTAGCCCTGTAATCGCCACCGCTGGCCAGGCGCAGCCGTTGCCAAACAGGATCTTGGGTGCTGCTTTATCAGGACTTGGCCTTCCTTGGAAAATTCTTCAGCGGGCAGCGGCCCCATTATCACTCACCTCCAAGCAGGGGGCTGGCACACGCCCTCCAGGGTCCTGTAAACACCTACCGTGTTTGCTCCAGGCTGCGATTGCCAGGGGCCAGCCTGGGGGACAGTTTCGGGGGCATAGTTCCAGGGGTCAGCATGGGCACTGTCAACCACACCCCAGGGACCGAGAGGGGGCTTGTCCAGGGCATGTGGGGGAGATGCCTGGGCGCCCCTTCTGCCCCTGCGGGGGCACCCAAAGTACCAGGACAGCTCCTGGGGTGAACTCCACCCTCACCTGGACCCCAGGATCCCCCAAAAGTTCCAGCACGCTGGGCCCCCACCCTGGGAGAGAAGGCAACCCGGTGGAAGGACACCTCCAGAGGCGAAGCCAGTCCAAACCGCCCTTTGGGGTGGGGTCCCAGGTGCCAGGCCGTCATGGACGGGCAGCTGGCCTTGGGGATCAGACAGGACACCTTCCTGGAGGCCCGAGGGGCTCTCAGGGCCAACACCACCTCTGGGGGCACAGGGGCCCTGGCTGGCCATTCGTTCCTGGAGACCCCTCCTCAGTTGGTCTCCTGGGACTTTGGGTCCTGGGAGGGGGAAGGGGGCAGAGTGGTCATGCTGTACCCTGGGGACCGCCAGTTACTGTTTTCTGACCCCCCATGGCTCCAAGCTGCTCAGGCACAGGAGCAGGGGTGGGGCAGCCTTAGGGGGCTGCCCATCTTGGGGACAGGTCAGGGTAAGGGTCATGGTCAGGGTCAGGGTGAGGTGAGGGTCAGGGAGCGTGGGTGTTTCAGATTCTCCGTGGGACCTTCTGGCATTTGGGGAGCATAGGTGTGTCTGACAGCTTCCAGGGCAGCCCGGCCACGAGTGGGAGCACATGTGGGAGCCCGTCTGGGATCCTGGGGGCCTGGCACAGGGGGCTTTCCCTTTCCCAAGTGTGGTTCTGGCCCCACGGAGACTTGGGGTGTAGGGGCCCTGGGATCCTTCCACTGAGGACCTGTGTCTGGGCCCCGAGGGCCGCCCCCTCCCCACCCTGGAGACCCAGCCACACAAATGCAATAGATGCCATGTATTTACCTTAAATAAGCTTTAGTTTTAATAGAAAATTGTTGTAACAGAAAACCCGCTCTCAGTGAGCTGCTGGCCTGTGGGTGCCCGAGCCCAGGCTGGGTGGGTGGAAGGGTCCCCACGTTCTCTGGGTGCTGGGCGCTCCTGTCCTGAGTCGTTTCCCTTTTAATGCTCTCAGTGGCCCTGTTTGGAGGAGAACATGAGGCCCAGGAGGGCACCTGGCCCAGGCAGGTCGAGAGGCTGGAGGGACACAGAACTGGGTAAGGGGGTGTCCCAGGGACGCCCTCCTGGGTGCCCCGGCCCTGAAGCCCCCCTGGGCACACAGGTGGTGGGGTCTGTCTATCCAGGCTTCCAGGCTTCACCATGGGTCCACCATGGGGGTTCCCCTGCCCTCAGTGAGCTCATACTCATGGGGGTCTCATGAAGCTCCGAATGTGGGGGCAGGGGCTGGGGTCCCACAGGGTGAGCGGGTGGGCCTTCCCTCGAGCCTCAGTCCCGGCCCAGGGTCAGGAGGATGAGGGTTTCATGAGACTTCCAACAAATCTTTATACCCGCCTTAGCCACACAAATCTCCCACTAATAGGACGAGGGGCCGTGGGGGCTGACATGTCAGCCTCAGGATAAGCAGGGTAAGGAGAGGGGCCCAGAACCCTGGTGGGAAAACATGCTTGGGATGCCCGCCCTGGGCTGAGGGGCCGCCCGACCACCTCCCACTAGAGAAAGGCGTCCCAGGGCCTGGGTGCAGCCCGAGGCGGGCGGGGCGGGCGACTGGCAGCGGAACAGAGCCCCAGGCCTTGTTCTCTGACCGTCCCTCCTGCACTCAGTGCCCCGCATGTCAGGGCTGTGTGTCTCCCAGCAGTGCCTTGCTCCACCGGGGCCCGTCCACCTGTTCCCCATGTGTCCCAGCACGTGGAGGGCTCCCACGCCCCAGACACATCAGGGGACAGGTGAAGGACGGAGCCAGAGACAGCAAACTGTGTTCATGGGGACACTGCTGGGTCGTGGACTTGCAGGGCCCTGAGAGGGGGCTGGGGCTTGTGGTAGGCAGGGGTCCCCATGCTGGGGTCCCCAGTGTCACATCCCAGTGGCTTGAGGGACTCAGATGTGGCCTTGCCAGGGGTTGGTTGTCACTTGTAGTGCAGTGGGGGGCCTGGAGGGAAGAAGCCCATGCTTGTGTGTGTGTGCATGTGCGCGTGTATGCTTGTGAGACTCAAAGTTTCCTGGAAAAATCACGCTGTGTTTTCCAGGATCTGTCGCCGCAGGGCTGTGCAGGCGTCATGTAGGCAATTGGTAGACGGCTCTGGCCTCACAGCACTGCCAGCGCCCGGGTCTGGCTCCATCCCAGCAAGGCGCGGCTGCGGGGCTGCGGGCCCCACTTCCCTTTCTACACAGTGGTTTGCAGGGAAATCTCTGAGAATGGTGTTTTTGTGGCTGACCTAGGAGTGCTCGAATGAGCTGAGCAAACAGCTGGAGATAAGAGTGTGTGCTGCCATTGTTCCCAGCGGTCACGGAGATAAGAGTGTGTCCCGCTGGCCAGCCTTGGGAAGCGGAACCACAGGCCCGGACAAGTGGGTGATTGTCTGCTGTTACGCCCCAGCCCAGACCCCGGTCCTCACCCTCATCTGCGTGGCCGGCCCTGAGCAGTACTGGCCACCCTGGGGCCCAGGCTGCCTGTGAGGCAGGGAGCCCGAGGGGGCCCTGAGGCCTAACCATGCCCTGCCCTGAGCTGGCCCCCAGCCCCGGCACCCAGTGTCCCGGGGAAGGGGCCCTGCACACCGTTTCCAGCTTCCTGGCTCACTTGGGAGGGTGGACCCTGTCCCCTAGGTTGTGGCTCCCCAGGCAGCCCTGACTTGACCTTCACTTGGGCCCGAGGGCCTGGATGACGACCTTGGCATTCACTGCCGGCAGGTGCTTCCAGAAGGCTCCGGAATGGGCTGGGGGCCTGGCTCCCTTCACAGGCAGTAAACACCCATGACCTGGGTTTGCTGGACTCTGGTTTACGGAGGCGCCAGAGTCTACACTGGCTGGCCCACCCCTCTGGGCCCCGCCTGTCAGGTGTGACGTTCCTGGGGAGGGCAGGTGGGGCTTCACCCCCAGAGGCTTGGCCCCACTAATCATGTCAGATCAAAGGACTGAGAACTGTGGCTTTGGGGCACGTTGGGAAAGATTTCGACATGGGAGCAGGAATTTGCCTTTGTGCCAGTGGTGCCCTGGTCTGGCCAGCTGCCATTGCCTCTCCCAGGAGTGGTCGGGGAGGCTGTAATGACCAGCCAGCGCTGGGGTGTTTCATTGCGGAGCCAGCAGTGACTTCCTGGACCCTGGGCCTCAAGGGTGGGGCTGGCCCTATGCCAGATCGGGAGCGGTGGGGCCGACAGGAGACCCTAGGCCTGGAGTGGCTGGAGCAAATATTCCGTGAGAGTGAGGAGGGGACCCAGAAGGGAAGGGGCCTCAGGCCTGGGAGGGAGAGTCACCTGCCCACTCAGCCCACCCTTGTCCTGACATCCTGTGTGCAGCTGGGTGGCTAGGCCCCAGGGTTGTCCCAGCAGGAGCCCCCCGCCAAGTGTTGTCCTTGATCCCCAGTGACCTGCAGCCCCTTCTCGCTTGAGTCCCACCTCACTCAAGACCTCCACCCTGGAGCCACAAGTGAGGGGCCCCGGGGCAGATTAGGAAGCCGCTCGCGGAGAAGCTGCTGCCTGAGTGTCCAGATGGAACTGTGTTCTGGAACAGGTTGCTGTGCTCACTGCCCACCCTCTCCTGGGCCAGGGCCCACAGTCTTTTTTGTCCACTTTAGGTTTCTGGCCCTGTGCTGGGGCCTGACAGGAGGACCACAGGTGGCTAAGGGGCAGCCTGAGCCGATGTGGGCTGGGAAAGCAGGCCTGGGGCGGGATGCCCACCTGCCGCCCAGGCAGCCCCCAGGAGTGGGGCCTGGCCAACCCACCCTCCCATCAGGAGGAGCTTAGCTGGGGTGGGGGTGACTGCTCCCAGGAGGGAGTGAGCAGCCTGTAGCTTTGGGCAGCGCCCAGAGGTGCCCCCACCTGGCCCGTGCTTGGCATAGCCCACCCGGTGTGGTCGCCCGCACCTGACCCCTTGATCCCCTCTCCCCACCCCTGGGTCAGGGCACCTCTGAGCCCCACCATGGGTGGAGTTAGCACCTCCAGGCTAGCACCCCCAAATGCCGCCTCCTCCATACACCCCCTCACATCCCTGTTTGGGGGGACCTCAGGTTGCCCCCCACGACGTTCACTGGCTCCATGTCCACGTTTCTCATGAGCTTGATGTCCCCTGCAGCCCCTAGTCGAGGGTCCCGAAGGCTCCACCTCTAAGATGCTGGGGGAAATGTATCAGATTTTCAGCTTCTGGGCCTGAATCCACTGCCCCCTCAGCTGTGGGCCAGCTGGGAGAGGCTGCAGTGACGGCCAGGAATGTGCCCCCAGCCCCGATCGGACCCTCCGCCGGCCCCCACCTGGGTGCTGATGCCGTGCTGATCACCAGCGGATGCTGAGCGAAAAGCAAACAGATAAGGCTGGTCAGGCAGGATACGGGATTGGGGTCCCGGGTGGCAGAATGGGGAACACCACACGCCCGGTCCAGGGGGTTATCTGGGCTGCCTTTCCCTTCCAAGCATGCAGGTGGTGGGTTGGGGTGTGTTTGCTCTCAGTTGGTGGCCGGTGAGGGGACTTTGGGGAGAGTGGGGAACACAGGCTGCTGTCTGTGTGACCCTGGGAGATGGTGGCCAGGTGGTGGTGGCCACTGGGGTATGGCTGGGGGTGCACATGACCCTTCCCCCTGGAGTCTGACCTTGGCAATGGAGCATGTCAACGTTCAAACCAAATAGCCAGTTATTTTACCAGCAAAGTGAGTTTATTTGGGAATAGCAAAAGAATTGCCATTTGGGACATGTAAACTACTGTGACCCACAGGCGAGTCCCGAGAACAAAGAAGGGAGCTGCTTTTGTAGAGAACAAAGGGGAAGTGGGAGGGGGAGGGGCTGTTCTAAAGGAAAGTCCATTGGCGGGAAGTAGAAGTTCAGGGTGGCAACAGCTTCTCGTTGGCTGAGCTGCGGCGTTTTTCCGTTGGCTGGACTTGTTACTGGGCAAGAAAGAAACCTTCCTCCCGGTTTCTCGGTGGCTGAGCTGCCGCGTTTTTCCGTTGGCTGGACTTGTTACTGGGCAAGAAAGAAACCTTCCTCCCGCTGGGGTAGTACAGTAGCAGTGAGTTCCTGTCGGAGATGTAAGGTGTGTCTCTTCCTGTTTGGGGTAGGGCCGAGGGCTCCCCCTACGGGCCTTCCCAAGCCAAAGTAGTCTGGGTTTCCTCTGTTAGTCTCCACAAGCTCATGGGAGGGGACCACGCTGGGGCATTCTCACTG